TCATTTTGATGGGGTCTGTATGATGAATTTACTTCTGCCTTCTAATCAGGCACGTAAACAACATAGAGATAAAACATTTCATTTTGCTTTTGTGGAGTAAATTCATCTTAAAAAAGTTAAACTAGTGGACCACTTTCTCCGCGTACTTGTAAAAATAGGCATTTAATATGTCGCGCTACAGTGCGAAAATCTTCTTGTCGTGGATTATATTTCAGTATACACATTGTTAATCCTCATTTCGAGCCAGAATAAATTAGTTTGCGCGCAAAGGGCTTCTAAAAAATATCACAAGGTTTGTCCCACTTCGAGTCCACCTTCTGGAGATACGCCGGCATGGTAGCTGGAATACATTGCCGAGGAGAAGATCTGGCATTTTTTCCTCCTCGTCTTTTTATCCCCGCGACATTTGTTTATATTTGTAGTGAGAATGCCGTACATATCGGTGGATTTTACTTCAATGAAGCGGCTTCAGTTCCTGCGGCTTGCTACTCATCATAAAGAAGAGTGCCAGAATCGCTTTGTTCGCTTTTAACAGATTTGTTGTCGAATGCAAGGTAAAAGAACGGACTACTGTAAGGTAAGAATTGAAGTTTACATTTGTTTCTCGGTGAAAAATAGTGCATACAACTCGTGAAACCCGTGATTATTACCTCTGTTTAATATACCGGATGTCATGCGATGACCCCTCGCTTTTACGATGGATAAGACGGATACAAACAATAATTTCTTTCGCAACGTTTAGTATAATTCACTTAATATGGAGATCATCTGAGGACGATTTTTCGTTATATATGCTTCATTTCTTGGCTTATTCCGGCTACGTGAGAAAAATTAGATGACAATGTTTGTGTGTTATAATTATACTGAAAATTTCTTGCACCTTGAAACTCATGAAAGCCAAACTTGTTTAACCCTAGCAAAAAAACTCTGATAGTTGCACTAAAATCTAATAATTGTTACTGCATTCGCAGGCTTTCTGTAACCTCGTGGGTAGAACATACCTGATGGTTACATTAATAATAATCACTGCATTTGCTCTCTGTAACTTCGTGGGTAGAACATACCTGAAGGTTACGTTAATAATAATCATTTCATTTTCTCTTTGTAACCTCTTCGGTAGAACATACCTGATGGTTACATTAATAATAATCACTGCATTTGCTGTCCGTAAACTCGTGGGTAGAGTATACCTGATGATTACATTAATAATAATCATTGCATTTTCTCTTTGTAACCTCGTGGGAAAGAAAAAAATAATGCCTCTCTCCTGGAAATTTTGCCCTGTCCTTTGAGCATAGTGATCTTTGGGTAGCGAATTCACGAAAACAGGTAAAACGCTTTTTTTAACAACAGCATTTATACTATTTGGCTTTTTGAGGGCGGTTAAACATTAATGGAATAGAATATCAAAAAAAGCTGATAAAGCGGAAAAAGTTGTCTTTACAAAATGCGCTTTGACAATGTCAAGGAGTGAAATAAGCTGAAGTTTTGTAGTAAGCCCGAAGAAAACCTGTTCCTGCATGAAAAGCAGTTCTGATTCCCTTGTCTTAACTAGAAGAGATGCATACCCCTGTGAACCAGTTTTTTTAACCAGGAGCGATTACCACATACTTCTGATACTTTATTGACACGAGTTCCTATTTCAATATATGTCTAGTTCAAGCTTAGCCGCGTGATAGCTCTTCATTAGCGAAAAGGTCCAAGTGATATTTTGATTGACTCGTTGTTTTGGATCCTAGGGTTTTTAACACCTTTTCTCTAGCTTAACTGGCGAAGATATTCTAGGAATTTGCCCTTCAATTCCAAATTCTTTGATGTGCCGCCAGATGCCGTGCAAAAATATCACCGCTTGCGGCTCCTCGTGGAGGCTAAAAACGTTGAAAATTGTCACAGCCTTGATACACGTGGAGGACTAACTTAACCTAAAAGGTAGCGCAAATATTCCAAAGCAGCTAGTTGCAGAACCAGTAAAATTAAGCTTACTCTTTGTTGTTGTTGTTACTCTTCGTTCCTTCCACCCACCACACCGAACACAACCCTCGTAATTAACGTAATCATCATTTTTTTTTTATAATAATCGAATCTTGTTTTATTTTAAATGTTTATTTATTTTAGCTTACAATATTTATTAGATTGTAAATAGTTGTGTACTTTATGAGGGCCACAAGTTTATTAGCCTTTGGCTATTAGGTGCTACCCTCTTTAAATAAAGGCTTTACTTACTTACTTACTTACTTACTTTCAATCCTCAGTAAAACCAGCACAACGACCATAACCAGCATAATTACCCACACAACTAACACCACGTCCACAACCAACACAAACACAAAAACCAGCGCAACCAGCACAACCAGCACAACCTCCACAATAAACGCAACCAATACAACCACTAGAACCCTCGCATGCTCCACAACCAACAAGACCACAACAACCAGCACGACCCTCACAACTAACACGACCATCACAACCAGGACAAACCTCACAACCTCCACTTAACAAATAGATTCCATGTTGCTGTATGTCTGTTCAGTAATAAATCACAGATGACGTCAAAATGTGGTAAAAACAACGAAGTATCAAACGGGTTGCAGGCGAGTGTGTCAATGATGTTTTTATCACATTTAATTGACGTCTTCTGTGATCTATTACTGAACAAACCCACGACAACATGAAATCTATTTGTTTTATGAAATGATCAGAAAAGAAAAAAAACCGATACACATCTTACCTGCCTCGTACCGCTTGACTGTTTGTGGATTTGTGCAAGTTTAGGCATTGTTTCAGTCCCAAACGCTACTTTTCGTCTCTGCCTGGTCTTTGTTTTCTTTATCGTACTTGTATAGAGTCACTGTCTTCGAAAAGTTTCTCAACGTCTTTTCTTGCTTAAAGCGGGATAATGGCGAAAACATCTTGCGAAACAGCGAGTCTCTCATAGCGATGACACACAATGGCAACTGTTGTGAAGATTTCTTGTACTTTGGACATTCTCAAGTTTTCAAGAGCTCTTTTTGACTTTGTTTCTTCATTTTCCTTCTTTGTAAATAGCTCTTGCTTAACTTTTTTCAAAGCAATCACTTGCTTAAGCCGAAATAATATCACAAGACATTTCCAAGACCGTGCTCCACGTTGAACAAAACAAAACCTCGACAACTATAATCACCACTTTCAAAACCTCTGCAACCAAAACAAAAAACACAATTCCCACATTACCACCATAACCAGCATAATCTCACAACCAGCAAAGACTCCATAACCGACCCAAGTACCCCACCAACACACCCTGTACAAACAAAGCACACACACCACAACCAACACACCCTCCATAACCAACACAACCAGCACAACACAATTCTCCACAACCAACACACCCTCCACTACCATTACAACCAACACAACCCTCACAGCCTCCACAACCAGACAATCTCCTTAATCATAACAACCACCACCCTTCACAACCATTACAACCCTAACAACCTCGACAACTAACACAACCTCCACAACCAACACAAGCTCCACAGTCAACACACCCTCGACAACCCACACAATCAGCACAACCATCACACCGTCCACAACCAACATAACCAACACACCCTCTACGGCCACCGCATTCCTCACAACCGTTACAACCAACACTGAGAACACCTCCATTAAAACCATCATAACCCTCACATTCTCCACAACCAATACAATCTCCACAGTCAACACAACCACCACACCCTCCACAACCAACTCAACCTTCGACCAACACAACCATCACAACCAACACAAACAAGACAATTCGCTCAACTAGCGCACCCTCAAAACCACCACAAGCCCTCCTACTACCAGAGCCGTCACAGAATGTTGTTAAAGTATGAAAGTATATAACACACCCTAGAAAACAAAAGATGTCCTAGTTTGTCATGTATAACAGTTTCCTTTTATCAAAAGGAAATTGAGCAAGGGTTGTGTTTCGGGGTTGTGACGGTTGTGAGGTTTGTGTCGGATGTGTTGGTTCTGAGGGCAGCGGTGGTAGTGCTGGTTTGTTGTGTTTTGGTTGTTGGAGTTGTGCTGGTTGCGGCAGTTGTGCTGATTGTGATAGTTGTGGTGGTTGTGGAAATTGTGCTGTATGTGGGAGTTGTGCTGGTTGTGTGGGCTGTACTAGCTGTGATATTGAGGGTTGTAGTGGTTGTGTTGGTTCTGGAGTTTGTTAGGGTTGTGATGGTTAAGGGAGTCTTTTTGGTTCTGGAGGCTATGAGAATTGTAGTGGTTGTGAGGGTTGTGTTTGGTTGTCGAGGCTCTGAATATTGTTGTGGCTGGGGTGGTTGTGAGAGTTGTGTTGGTGGTGATGGTGGTTGTGAAAGTTGTGTTGGTTGTCTTTTTTGTGGAGGTCGTGGGAGTTGTGGTTCTTGTGGCGGTTGCGAGGATTGTGCTGAGTGTTGTCATGGTTGCTGAACGTCGTGATGGTTGTGCTGTTTGTGGTGGTTGCGTTGGTTGAAGTGGGTGAATTGGTTATGGTTGGTAATGTGTTGATTTATAGTGGTTCTGTTAATTGCTGGGTTCGGTTTGTGTGTTGGTTGTTTTGGCAGTCGTTCTTTCATTCTTTGTGTTGATGATTCTAGTGGTTGTGGAGGTTGTTAGGATTCTTTTGCTTGCCTTGGTTGTGGTGGTTGTGGAGGTTGTGTTGTTTGTACTGGTTGTGGAGGTTGTGGTTGTTGAGGTTGTGTTGTAACTCGTTTTAACAAAAATCAGTGAAATGTTAGGGCAAATCGTTTGTGTCTTTGTAAAGTAAAAAAGTAAAACAACAAAACAAATTTAAAAAAGTGCCAATGAGGCCTTAAACTGCTGTTCTAAAAAAAATGAAACTGGAATCCAAGCTTTCGCCCATAAACGTCATCATCAGGGAATGACGACGTTATCGATTTCAATTTTTTTTGTTTATTTTTGTCATAGTGATATAAATTTTACGTAAATCTTTTCTACATTTTAATAAACTTCAATCCAAAGTCAGTCAGTGGTTAAAATTTTAAAGCGATCGGACAAGGATAAAATCACTTTTAAGGCGATTGAAACATATCGGTATGGTCTCCGAAAAACTGTACCGAAACACCTTAAGTTGTGTCGGGAAAGAGGGTCACCCTGACTCCCAACCGAGTCAACTTTAGCTAGCGTTTATATGAGAAAAAAGTTGACTCCATTTCCCGAGCCAACAACTCTAGCATATGCTTTGATTGTCTAGCTTTGAAGGCGTTTTCCCGGCGCCGAGCAAACTTTTTTGTTTCGATCTCATGTAAACGGTTCGCCAAGTTTTGTAAGGAAATGTAGGAAACGTTGGCTCCGATATGCGAGTGACCCTACTACCAGGAAAAAAATTTCTTAATTTATACAGGGCCTTACACTTCCTTTTCGAAAAGACATTCAGTGCCAATAATTGGGGCCTTTCTGATTTTATCCTCCTTTGTTTTTTTCTTTTTGTACTAGAACTTTTGATGACTTATAATGGCCAGCTTCCATTTGCCGCTGCGTAGTTATGAAATGCTTTGGCTTTTTATGTGTTGCTTATCTATGACAACCACCGGCCAGCACTGCTTCAAAGTCTCACAAAAAGGTGAGTTAATCTATGTCCATCTCCTTATAAGGAAGCAAAGGGCGCCCGCTCCTGGTAGTCTAGCCTGTTCCAGGCGTTCAGATCGTGGGGACAACGCGAACAGATGTATTTTTCCCACTCTCTTAATTCGCACCGCCCTCCACTGTCTGGATGCCTGAAACAGGCTACTGTGGGTCTCACGGATTACATTCTGCGTGACAACTGGGTCACGCGCCTTCAAAATCACATCATATCGTAACAACACAAAGTCTGGGTACCACGAAAACATTATTTTGCCTCTAGGAAAATATTTCTCAGACTTCAATCCTATGCGAGACTGCATTTGCAGTCCAGGAAAGAACAGGTAAATTTTCCATAATCATACCAAAAAAAAGCACAAACGAGACAGCTGGAAATAAATCCGTAAAGAATATTTGGTTTTGATGTGTTTGGACAAATCATTATTTGTTCTATATATCCTAGCCATGAAAACATTGAATGTCAAGCTTTGATATTAAACTAGAAGTTATCCCACACGCTATGCATGTGTGTAAATTTCCTTTAGAAACCCGAGCTTATGTTCGGTGTAGCGGCTTCCGTGACTCCGCAGGGATTTAAGTAAATAGAATTAAAAATCCCTTTTATCAGCTTTTACTAAATAAAAACAAAATTCTTCTATTCTGCCAGTAGACCTGCTGCTCTTCTGGTTCAGCTGATGATTTTGCGTTTCATGCAAGCGGTAAACGTTATGGGAACCGTTAATCTCGTACTTAGATCTGGAACCGTTGAAAACATTTCTAGTACCAATGTGATATTTTTAGCACTGTCCGGCGGCTGGAAAGGCCCCTTTGATTTTACCAGCCCAACACTAGCCTGCGTAGCAAGGGTTTCCAATCGAGTTATTGCGCGAAAGTTAGAGCTGGAACAAAAAAAAAAAAAAAGGTGGAAGGGTGAGGGGGAGGGGAGAAGAGGAAACTCTTGCCCGCAAACCCCACGATTCTGGAAAACGCCTCTTGATATTTCACGGTTCGGTTCATTTGTAAATTGAGAGCTCGTCAAAATAGAAGTATAACGAACAGATTACCCCTGGATTACCAGATTTGTAAAATTACTTTGATCTCTAATAGAACACGTTCCAGGCGACTGAAAAAACTGTAATAAAAAAGGTTTATGATAAAAGAAGGTTAAAACTTTGAGCGATTGCTGCGAAATTTCTTGTGTTTTATTGTGTGGTGTTATCTCGTCTGAAACCTTGTCGAAACGTCAAAAATGATTTGTCCGGAACAATTCACTCCGCCGGCTACAAGTTTCGCAGAGCGGCTGCTCTTCAGCCCGTGTCGAAACGTTCTCTACAATACATGCCGCTAAATTTCCAATCAACAAAAAGAATCTTTTCATTTCAAAAAGCTGACAAATCGCTTGTCCATGGCGGCTTTAGCTAGGGTCGAGTACCGATGTTCTGATTTACGTTGATGTTATCTCCAACAAACAGTCCATTTTTTTCAGTCAGATCCGCAAGCCGTCATTCCCAATAAATTGGCCTTCCCTAGTTTCCACTGGTCGATCTCCCATTATACTTTAAAAACTCTGGTCTTATAAACCTTCGCACAAGCACAAATCAGTCCAAACTGCGACCACAAATCAAATAAGACCAGATTTGTGGCGCACGTAAACAAAGCATACCTGGTTTGATTGATGTTTCGAGTGCTAAGTAATCAACACTATCAGCACCGCACCAATTAGCAGCTGCGTTCGTGGGCGAACGCAGTTTTTCAAAATCGTGGGGTTTGGGGGCCAAGCTTTTCCTTCTTTCCCCTCTCCCTCCCACGTCATTCCTTTTTTTTTTTTTATTTTTTTTTTTTTTTACTCTCGTCCCAACTTTTCTCGACGAACTAACGCGGATAAGCTTGCTACGCAGGCTAGTCCAACACGAATTTGAAAAACAATTGCTATCGTCTATTCGGCTCTACGATTGGCCAATAGCCCAAATCTCCTAGCAACCATCGTAGAGTTTCCTACCCAGGTACGATTTACGAGCAGCACTGCGCGCTTATCCCCCGCGCCTCAGGGATTCGAGGAGAACGCTCGGTTACCAAAACGAATGCCGATCGACTTTTGAAGCAACAAGCACATCTAGGACGATAAATTCTATCAAACTAGCAGTAGCCGTTGGCTAGGAAGTGCAGGCGAAACCGCTTTGATATGTAGGTGAATGCCTTTCCCTGCGGGTCATGAAAAGTGGATTGAACCACCGAGTAAACAAGACTAATATAATTATTTAATTAAACGATTTCATTTGCAGTTGATTGTACAGATACAAAAAGCCTGAAATATTTCTGGAGCGATTAGCGAGGAGAGACGTTTGTATCTTGTTCGCCGGCAAAGATACATTGAAACAGTAATGCGCGACACAAGTAATGCGGGTATGCGTCATGCACGAAGTCTTGTTATTCAATCGAATATTCAATTCGTGTTAAATGACCAAAGGCCGAATTGAATATGCGATACAAAATAATGAAACAGCTTAAATTACCACTGGAATTTGAAGTTTATTAAAGCTTTCGGATGACAGGCGACGTAACATGCTTGAAAAAACGTCTAAAAGTATAAACACCCTGAAAAACCATGCACTGTAACTGTAGTGAAACGTGAATAAACTTTTAATATATAATCTACATCGATTTCTAGACTTTGCTAGCACTCGTATCTCACCGAAAACTTGTCCCGCAGTAAGCTGAGATCAGGGGTGCTTACCATTTGACAGAAAAATCCGGTAGTGGGGTGTCGAAAGCATAATGGTAAGCGATTTACCAGTTTACCGTAGAAATGCCACATCCGTTACGGTTTAAATCCAAAAAAAGGGCGAATTTGTGTGGCGTGAGTGTGGAACCGAGGAGGAAGCGAGAAATTGGTTAATGGTAAGCAACATTCCGTTTGGTTCGCAGAAGGGTTCGTACCAACTGGAATGAAAGGACTACCTCAAAACGTACTCCTCAAGTTTCGGTTGGAATTTCCGAAAAGTGACCTTACCATTTACCTTACATCCGGAACTTCCGAAATTTTCTGTCAAATGGCAAGCACCCCAGGCTCTAATTTTATCTTCCTGGGTAAATAGATTCCAGGCCCGCAAGGCGAATCGAAAAGTCTCCCATTTAGTGCAATACTTTTGTACCTGAATTACCTGTGCTTGCGAATCGAATGTATAATAATGATTGTTGCATCACTTGCATGTGCATTCCCGTGATTACTGTGACATCAGAAGGGCCTTTAAACTCAACACCAGGACCTTCAAGACCACGTACCATTCATACCATGCATATTAGTCGGTACAACACAGGAATGTGAAGAGATCGAGAAAAAAATCCGCCTATAGAGTTAAAAAAGTGCCGCTGACCAAGAATAGTTGGTAGGCTCCTTTTGTCGCCCGCAATTAGAAAATTATCCATTGAAATAATTAAAGTGAGTAATTCAATCATTTGGTCGTTAAGGGCACAAATGCTTTCTAAATACAAAAGTAGAGAGTATACAAAAGAAGTGATTATTTTTGAAGTTATTATTTTACATATATGTAAGGTTCTCCAGAAGTGTGTTTCGCCATTATGCATGACGACAATTGGCATTCAGAAAATCCTCAGCCTTACCTTGTGGAAAAAGGGTCGAATGTTACTCTCACATGCACTGGAAAGGGCACTAGTGCAGGCTACCAATACCAGCCATACGACATGAACTTGTTTTTCAACTCAGCTCACCTAGAAATAGCTAACTGCATTAACGGAAAACGGAGCCCGGTTAAAACTTGTAATCTGACTTTACGGTGGCCAGATGTCCGTGGGAATTATACCTGCCAGGCAGTTAGCGACATGGGGTGCACTTATAAGGAGCTGGAACTTAAAGTCGCTGGTGAGTCAAGACTTATTCAAGTGAGTAATTATTATTATTATGATGATGATGATGATGATGATGATGATGATTATTATTATTATTATATTATCATTATTAAACGGCCGATGTTGACAAATTTTGCTTGTATCTCTTTACGACGGTGGCCCGGAAATATCATGAAAAAGCATGCAAAAGATCTGTCATGAGAAAAAAAAAAGTTGACATGATATCTGTGGGCCACAGTCGTATAAAGATACAAGTAAAACTTGTTAAAATTGGCCCTTTAATTGATAACATAATAATAATAATAATAATAATAATAATAATGACGATGATGATGATGATGATGATAACAATAACAACAATAGTAATAATATTATTATTATTATTACTATTATTCATTGTTAATAAGTTTTTTATTGCATATATTCTATAAATTAATCATATTAACATTTTACAATCTTGAAAAGAAAAATATTAATAGTAACTTATTGATACAATCAGGTTACAATCATATGATTAAATGCTAAAAAATATCTTATTAATACTGTAGAAAATTCATCACCACATTTCTATCACTGAATACTGAAGTAGCGTGAATGTACTTGTATTCAATTGAAATAACTCATTTTTTAAAATCTAGTTCCCAATTTAAGGTTGATATGCGAAAAACTGTGCCCAGCTGTCAGCAGATCCTAACATTTTCAATCAAGTGCAAGAAGGGTTTAAACTCAGTCTATAGCGTACGGGATATGTGGTAGACAAAAGTATTATTTTTAGAACCCATGGCACCGCGTTTGTAGAGGGTAGAGTAATGGGCGATGGAAAATCTGTTTGGGTTTTCCAATCGTTGGTGCGCTGCATCAACACTCTTATAGACACGTACATATCTAATATTGTTGGCTGATTTAGCCAGAACTGGCGTCTAGCGGCTATTTTTAAACGTTACTGAAGGACGTTCTTGATACAGAATTTAAAATAATGAATAAAATTCATCATCAGATTACTCACGGTATAAAAACCATTACTAATAAAGCTTTTCCGCATTACGCTCCAGTAAGCAAACATAAAGAAATGAGGACGAGGCTACGGTGGACGATTTCATACAAATCACTGTATTTTGTCCACCCGAGCCACGAGTTGGTGCCTTTGTTTACAGGAATGCGTGAAAGGTCTATGGTATAACAAACATATTTATTTCCTTTTATAGATGGTCGAAAACCAACTATTATTAAGGCGCCAGTTAATCAAAGTGCACATATTGGGTCCAACGTAACATTTAACTGTACGGTGAGTGGTGATCCCACGCGTGCAGTAAACTGGACGAAGGATGGTAAGTTGTTGCCCATCAACCAAAAAGTCCTGACAAACCTCACAACGGGTGAAAGTCAGCTTGTAATAAGAGGAGTGAGAATGGACGACACTAGCACTGGCAAATATCGATGTGTGGCAACTAACAGTATGGGTACGGAAAAGTCAAGAGCAGGGGCATTATTAGTGGTTGGTAAGGTGTTGCATTAACAAGTTTCTTATACTTACTTAATTATACTAACTAACTTACTTGTTTGCTCGCTCCCTTCCTTGTTTGCTTACGTATCTCCTGTATTTACACATAATAAGTACTTATTTATTTACTTTCTTACTTATAAGAAGATGTAAGGACCTCCTGCCATTACTGAAAGTTGAATTTATTCACAAAGACAAATTGATTGCTTAACAAATCTCGTCAGTGGATACTGCCTACAGTTTGTCTCAGTAATCCTTGCAATTGTCTTCGGGATTTAGTTTTAAGCCTTTCGAGAAAAAAAAGAGGGCTTTGGCTAAAGTGATGCTTCTTCTAGTCTAAGACCATGTAAACCAGTTTCAAGTTTCAAGTATAATTTTTTAAGTTTATTTAATATACACCTTTTGCTGTTCATTGTACGAGAAAATACGCATTCATTTCCGTGAAACGGCAACCAACAGCGCGAAGATACATTCATTAGCGCAAAAAAGCTAACACTTGCCCATAAATTTTAATCAACATTCAATAACATTTTTGGGCACTCATTTGCGTCATTCGACATACAGAAGAGAAAAATATACTCTCCTTAACGAGTCATTAACATTATCTTGATAATCATTTGGGACGATAGACAAACATTTAAGTGCAAACGCTATTCATTAACATTTCTATGACACTGTTTGCAATTCAATAGCATTCCTGGACAGCTTTAGAATGGATAAGACAAACATTAATGCGCTTGTACAATCAATTGAGCGTTGTTTACATTTAATATACAGAAATATATTTTCAATTGAACAATAGAAAAAAAAATTGGCCTGAAATTGTTTAAAGAATCACGCCGTACTTCGCCACTAGGGAACTTAAGATAGAGACGTTTTCGGGGCGACGGCGAACGGACTGGCAGAGCAATCCTGGAACAGAGATAGCCGTCGCTTCCCTCCAAAATTCGAACATTAAGATCGCAGTGAACTCAGGAGGACGGCGCCTTGGAAGACTACCGAAGAGGAAAATATGGCTTCACATAAAGAACTAAGAGAATTAATGCTTAATTGCTTGCATGCAACAACAACAACTTTATTTCAGTATTCCCACGTTAGTACGTGGTATTACCAACTATTCCAAACAATTTTCAATACATACGTTTCATTTATACGATGCTCTAACGAAAAAAGTGAGCTAAAAAAACATTGTTAAAATATCGGAGTTCATATGTTTTGTCCGGATACTTTCATTTGGCTCGTTGGACAATTTTGTCCATGTAAAGCTCACTTACGGTTTGCTGTTTGCCATATTAGATCAGATTGCATCTTGACCCTGTGACATGAAACATAGAAACATTATAAGATGTAAGTTTAGATAACAGAGCTTGGAAATCGAGCTTGAAATGTGACTCAAAGAAAACAAGGACGATAATCTGCAAAATTCTGGTTGCTAAGGGACTGGTCAAAAAGTATAGGGAGGGGGGGGGGGGGGGGG